CAAAAAATACAGCAAATAAAACATTGAATCTATTAAATAAAGTTTAAAATTATTTTTGTTTAAATCTGTAATGGTCTTTTTACGTTATTTTTTATAACTCTTATTGTATAAACATAAAACTAATCAATCCAAAATATCTATAAATAGTAAAAAATATCTGTGAATGGAAGATTATATCATTTTAACACTATATAAAATACAGATTCTCAAGAGCTTAAAATAAACTTGCGTATTGTTGATATCGTATAATTTGTTTATAAAAAGAAAATCTAATAAAATTATTTAAATTTTTTTTGGAGATATTCACGAATCTTTAGAACTTTCACAATCTTATTTTCACGGAACAAAGAAATCAAACAAATTTACCGATTTGATCCTTGATTCTTCATATTTTTCTTTTTCAGTTTTAATATTCAAATATTTCAAATGGTCCCGCATACATCGTTAGTCGCCGAGCGATTCTAGCAAAGATCATAATCCGTGAGGCAATACCGAAACGATCAGGCATTCAACAGGCCTCGAACCAGTGACCCAAATCCATGGCACTTAGAGACGTACGTTTTTCTAGAATCGGATTATCGACTATGTTCCGCCAATATTCATGTAATTTTTTCGCTCATTTTTTAAATATATTTTTGCTATACAAAAGATATCACACATACTTGTATACTGACAGAATCTCGAATAAGATAGACGCAGTTCGATATACAATATATATATTAATATCGGCATTCAAATGTTTCCAAAGCGATAAGATAAAATATATGAAATTATACAGATAATATAACAATATAATATTAAGTCATTAATTACCGAATTGATCGAACAGAATTATAGCTGCTATAAGATATTATACAGATAATGTATCATATAATAATAAACTTTGCACAGTTATAAAATGTTCTATTATACTTAGAATACCATACATGTATCATAATGTAGACTATAATCTTATCGGTTTTAATCATACACAGAAGATTATACAATTAAAGATTTAAAATTTTTGATTTAAATAATTTTCAATAAATCTCGCAGTGAAAAAGTTCACTTTCGAGATACGGATTACGGTAAGCTATGTTACTATACGTATTAAAGTTAAAATGCGAGATTAGTAATGAATTTGCACAATATAAACATATAAAACATAATATATTTAAAATATAACATAAAAATATGATATACTATTCAAAATAAATTCTGAATTATAATGCGTAATGGAATCCCCCATTTTTCACATATCTCATCTTTACGTTTAACAAACAAAGCTTCTTTTAGTACTTATAAAATATAATTCACATTTTTATTGTATATAGAATTATTTAAAAGAGAGATTTAAAAGATATATTATTTTTTTTATAACACGAAAAAGTATTCTTAAAGTATAAAGACTTTTACTTATAAATTTTATATTGTCTAAAGTCTAGAAGCATCGCGAACGAAAGCCGCACACGCCGTGACTGTGAAATCGCTGAAACGAAGTTAACCCAAATCCATACATATCGTAACGGTGTTTTCGAGGAATCGAATTATCGGACGACCCATTTTCGCCCACTGTCGCGCCACTCCTTTTTGACCGTTTGCCGACGTGGAAATGATAACACGTGCCTGCCGGGCATCAAAGAGGAAAAATGGTGTTTGCCGAATGTCGATAAGACTCGTCCTTTTCGTTTTATGAACTGAACGGGAAAACATCGTCGTCCCGATGTTCTACGTCGTAGTATTTACGCGTTGGCGTAGCGCGAGCTTCTGCGAATATTTAAAAAGTTATCTGTTCACCCCCCGTAACTTTCTCACCTGGACCGAGTTTTCGGACGTCGATACACCTTGGAGGTCGTGAGCGCCCGCGCATTCCCGTAAAAGTTAGACGCGGTGCAAATTTGCGTTTCACAAAGTTTCGTTCACACCACACAAGTCTCGTAGCGATCTCTTGGCACGCAGCTGCCTAAAGTTCCATCTTTCGAACAAAATTTTATTCAACGAACTAAAGAAAAATTCACACGAGCAATATAATCTAATTTTATAGATGAATATCTAAGTGATTAAAATAATATACTTTTTGGAGAATATTGCTTTTAAGACTAAATTGTAAAACTATTCACAACATTAAAAAATTTACACATACATATAAATCATTGCCCAGAGAGGAGAGAACTCTTTAATCTTTCTTTGAAACAAAAATCCTCAGGGAAGCTGCTTTTATTTTCATCATTTAACTAATTTCTCATAACATTCAATTCTCAATACAATTAAACGACAGATACGTATAAAATTCTGTAGATATATCTCTACTTCACTAAACTGATAATTACGTTGAATTACGACTAAAAGAAAACAAAATGATCCTCGATTGTTTATAGGCTGATTCACTTCAGCTGCCGTTAACATAAAAAGACGACGAGAGGCACAGATCACTCAACTTCCTTTGAGCAAACCTTGTCAAAGAACGAAGACCGATCTGTATGTTTGACTTCACCGCAGACATAGCCGTTTGTGTGTGTGATTATACTACGCCCGTCTAATATTATATCTTCTCTATTCTGGCAGACTCTCAGGCTCTGCATTGTACGCGAATTTAATGCCGCGTAATAGCACATGCGCGCAGCAGAATCTACTTCGCTAATCCCCTTCAAAATTTCATCGCTGGTGTTATATGTAAGCCGCATGGTACGATCGTTAGAACGCATAACGGGTAACGCGTGTAAGTCGGATTCGGATATGCTCAATCGCTCGTTATGCGCGAGCTGCCGATACAGTTGGACTGAAGATGTGATGTAATGCCGATTCTCGCGTTCTTATATGTATACGCCATAGTAAAACGAGAGTTACTCGAAAAGTAGCTCTACTTACTGAATTAAAAATTTAAATGCGTGAATTATGAAAAGATTACACTACGCGAATCTACGGCATGTAAATTGCATGAATATTCTTTCAAAAGTTTTAGAAATTAATTATAAAATGATAAAAAATACATAGACTCTTCAAAAGATGAATCTACAAGGAAGTGCTACTTCATTTTCATCTTATTCTTTGTATTATGGATGATTTAACAAGTGTTCTTTCATCAGATTCCAATTTCATATCAATTTTTCTCGGTAATAAAAAATATTAAAGAAGATTATTCATCAAGTGTTTAAATTTTAATATCATATACTTTTTCAAGTAGTTCTCGAATTAAAATATATTTAGTGAGGAATAGATAAAATATGGATATTTTAAGAATGAGTTACCAAAATATCTATAATAAAAAAGATTGAAAATTAATATTAACCATATGATCTTCCTCGACATTTTCTCATAGAAATTTCACATGTTATATTGTATTTTAAAGATTCAGAAAGTGACTTGTTGAAAAATTTTCATTCAAACATCAAGTAACAACCGATAGAAAGACTGAAAGAAAATATATGCTAATTCTAGAAAATTTTAATAATAATATCTTTATGATAATTTCGTGTTGTTACGTAAGACTTTTCTCTTCTATTGTCCTATACGCTAAACAGTAAATGGCTCTCGTTACGTGGTGAGAATTCTGTAGGTGGAAACTCTCTGGGGGATTTACCGCGCCGTTAATTTTACGGGGGTACTGGTGAGAGCGCACATGGAACAATCTTCTCTCGAACGTGGTGCATCCACAGGTTGTCGTCTGACCTAATCTGACCTAACCCAAGTGATTAAGGACGTCGAATCAATGAAGAGAAGGAAATTTCAAGGCCGATATATCTTTTATCAAATCGTTATCCTTTTATTAAATTATTTGCTTTCTGAACGAAGAAGTTTGTTTAAATTCCGTCGAAGCAAAATACTCAGCGAAATGTAAAAACCTATATATTTCGCCCAGTGATCTCAAATATTGAATTCAGCAAATAAATAGAACATTTTTCGGTCATCGGACAGATTGTCAGTTCAATACTGTCGTATAGGTTTGAAACGTATCAACGAAATAAGTTTCTCACAAAACTGGAATGTCCTCTAATAATTTATATAATATCAGTTTTTTAAGTATAAAAAAAAATTTGTAATGTATTACAGGTAATTCATAAATTCTATCAATATTCATATAAAAATGTGAGGGAACAAATAGTTTTATGAGATAATTATGTTGCAGAACTGACCAATATCTAATTCATGCGCAGTTCTATTCGTATCGCTGATATTTTCTGAACACAGGCAGTGATATTAGAGACTGACATTTAAAAAATTCATTTATTTTGTATTTATTTATTCTATGCTATGTACACAGATGTCGATCACTATTTACTTTCTTAAAATATTAAAATTATTCGACTTACGTTAAATTTTTTATCCCTTTTTTAATTAGAATCTCATTTTGCTCGTCTATGACTCAACGATCATAAAAATTGAAAGTATGATAATTACAGTAAAGAGTTTTGTCAATTGTAAAAATTGCTGTCTAGCTCTCTCAACAATAATATACTAACGTCTCAATAATAGCAGAATCAATTATATTTCAAAGATAATAGTTTTTTTTTCATTTTTTTTTTCTTTTCGTTTTGGCAAAACGTCCAGCTTTCGATCCTCGTAATCCAAGGCCCTGAAAGGCTTAACAGCAAAACGAATAATAATATTCCAGAGGAAATTTTGGTCTTGATAGATTGGTGTTGTATACTTCGTCGTTCTAACCATTGGAGAGGTAGGCTCGCAAAGGTGGAATCAATACGTGAACCTACAACCATCTCTACTTACACAATGCTAGCCGACCGAGCCCGAGAGCAATGTGTATACATATATATATCTCGTATCTCTTATTTTCTCCGTCGCGATACTGTTGCTCAATGATTGTGGTCCTATCCTTGTGTGTGTTCCTCTTTAAATCCCTTTTTTCTCCCTTTCCACTACTATTAAATCCTCCGCATGTGTCCCCACTCTTACTTGTGTCGATTTTCTTTACCCAGTATTTTTTCTTACTTTCATGATAATGCAAAATCCTGCCGGATGAATGCCAGCTCCTCTTTTGACGGCGCGCCTTCATTCTGTTCCAGGAAATTCAGCGCCGTCACTCCATTTTCGAGCCCAGTCAGCACACGTTGGCCGACACAGTTCGGTAAACAAATGCTCTCGATTTATAGCTTATGCACTTTCCTCTCCCTGAAATACTTACAAGTAGTTTAGCTCCTTCAAATGTGATTGTTGTTCTTCCTTACCATTTTGTTCTTTTTTATTATAGAAACTGTCACCACACACTACAGATTTATATTTACAATTGAATCGATATAAAATTAAGTTAAATTAATAAACAAATATCTTTTGTCTCTAATATCTTACTTTTGGTAGCAAACGCGTTACAACCCATTTTACAGAAAGCCTCTTACCAGTTTCAAGGCTTATTAAATTTATCTTTTTGACAATGTTTGCAAATAATTTATAGACATCTCGCATTCAACTCAAATACAATTTGCAGAATATCAACATTCAGCTCAAATCCGCAAACCTATATATTTCTCTTTCTCTTTTTTTGTGCGTATGTAACGATAGCGAATTTATTTGATTTGTAGGAATGGGGAGTGTCGGCAGCAATGTGACAGGGACGACGACGACAGATCCAACGACGTTCCTGCCAGACGCAACTCCGACACTAAGCGAACGTGAACAAGTCAAAATCGAATTTTACAAAACGTACGATGTCATGACGGGGGTACGGATCGCCGCGACCCTTGGTGGCTTTTTCAGCTTAATGGTGTTGCTGGTAGTTTACAAGAGCAGGTAATTTTAAGGATGTTTAAGCCGGTATTTGCGTCGCCATTGAAATACAATTAAAATATGATTAATATATTTATCAGATGCAAAGCGAGTAAACAACTGGAAGATCCAACTTTGACTGCGGCAGCAGCCGCGGCGGTCGCGGAAGCTGAAGCTGAGGAACGCGCCCTCGCCGCTGCTCTCGAAGCGATCGCTAGGTTACCACCTAGACTGGGTCGTGGTCCGAGAAGATCATTATGCGTCGAGGTATAATATAACAGCTTAAGTACTTATACCAAAATAATAATTATAATAACAAGAGTATACACATATCTTTAAAATTAAATACATTCTGCCAAAAGTGGAATGTATCATTAGAATAGAGTTAAAATATTAACAAAATAAATATTCTACTTTCTTTGAAAAATTAAATGGTGCATTTGAAATTTACGTTTCTTCTTTAATCTCTAAAATTACAAAGTACGATATCGATAGGTATTCATTACTGAATTATATAACAACTTTTATTTAAGAGCAAATGTATTTTGTAACTAAAAAAATCGTCGAGAAGATTTATGTATTAAAACATCACTGTTGATTGAATCGTGCAGTTTTCAAATAGTAAAGTTTTACACTTTTTCGATAGAACATAAAAATTTTTGGACTGATGCCATGCCATTTCAGAAAGTGCTCTCTATAGTTCGCAGAGTGGCGTTCAGAGAGTGTGCTCTTTAGTTCACAGAGTGACTTTTAATTTGTAATTTGTCCGTTCGCCAAGCACTTGTAATTGATCGAAATATTTACGTCAGATGGATCAGTCTCATTCACCCGTGGTCGCACCTCGCTTCGCCTCAGTCGGTGGATACGACTCCCTGCTGGCACCGCCAATCAGGCAACCGAGGTTGGCTCCCCCGGTCGATCACAGAAGATGTAGCTCGGTCACCTGTAGCAGCACTGGAAGCAGTTATCTGGAACGAAGGGGTTCAGCCATGGTAATGCCGTGCCTTCCACCTCCTACATCCTACCCGCGTCACGCCGCCTACGATGAGCCATGGGATTTATATTACCCTATCGATATCCAGGTATACTTAATATTTGCAATCTTATATCTTTCAAAACGCGATTTCTTCTTAATTCTTTCCAACAGTCAATGTTGAAATAAACCTTTTCTCTATTTTTATTTAGAGAATCTTTATTTTATAATATATTTTAAATAAGATTGTCAAAAAATTTTAGACAATAATACGATTATTTATATATCTGTGTCATTATAATTTTACTATAACACAAACTTTACTGTTTCATCCTAAAATATAATTTGTATAGGTATATCTCAGCTGCTATACAAATAATAAATAAAAATGAGTTGAATCACTTGTTCATTTATTGAAAATCTTTATAATATAATCAGGTCATACAGCCAACTCCGGATTTATCGCCATGCGGAAGCGAAGTCGGTCTTTATAACGATGCAGTCGGCAATCTTATGGCAGCGTCGTCGGGCAAAAGAGCACCGTTGGCATCGATGGGTAGCGTGGATCCCCCCGATCCAGATACCAAGTCGCTCGGTTCCGATTCCGTCTTCCTGAAGAACGAGGACGAGGAACAGTGCGTCGACACTGAGGACGAGGTCTCGGGTTTTTCTACGGACTCGGATGCGCCTGGGCCAAGTTGTCGGCGGTTCCTACGGGTGCCTTCTAGGAAAAAACGGATCCCCGAGAAATGGGACGGATGCGCGGGCTGCGTGCCCAGGCGACGGGCTGGTAGTAAGCTCTGCCAAGAATGTTTAACCATCAGTGCCGCCGTCGAAACCTCCAGGTAAATTCCTATTACGAGTTCTCAAGTGAAAAAAAGTATTGCTTTCACAACGAGAGGCTTTAGCTGCCAGTTTAAAGCAAAAATATTATTTTTTTTTTATTATCATAACTAATAATATAATAATAAATACGTATAATATTAATACTCAAGGAAATATAAAATATTTCAATCTACTTGAAATTTTTTTAACGATACTATTGGATAGAATAAAATGACTATAATAAAAATATTATTTTTTCCAAAAAGCTTGATTATTATATTACATTTGTATCTACTCCTCTCTTTTTTCTATATTATATGTATTAAAAAATAATCGTCTTCTTTTTTCTTCTTTAATTAATAAACTTTTGATAATAGGTCGCAACCAGCCTCAACGACAACCAGTAGCAGTCAGAGTAGCGTGGGATCTCCACCGTGTTCACCGCCGATCGAACTGAGGCACAGACCACCACCAACGCCATTACCATCAATCCCGCCAATATGGTCCCAAGAAACGCTCTTTTAGGATACATCTTTTGTAGTGAGCATATGTCCTTCGATTTGGTTTTTATCGAGATACAAAACTAAATCCAGAATGTCGATATCTGAGGAAATCATTTGCTCAAAAGTTGAACATTATCTGACCTCTAATCATCTTGTACTTTTAGAAAATAATCTCTTTCTTTCTTGGATCTTGTCGCCATTAAAATATAATTTACATGCATGGATTTGAAGATTCAATTGTCATATTGATCAGTAAATTTAACTATAATTCACGAATACAACAATTGTCATACGGAACTGTTATAAAACTGTTTTTAAAAAAATCTAAATTTTGATGTAAGGAAATTAATTAAAAGAAAAACAAAATGAAATCATATTGGATACCATAATCTTTATAAATGGCAAGAATGAAGAAAATTGCTATATAAGTCAACCGAAGGGGAAAGGACGAGAAAAGAACGTAAAAGAGAAACGAAGAAGAAGAAGTACGATGGAAAGCATTTTTCGAACGTGCGAGGAATTATCGGAGATTTTCGATATTACGACGGTGACTTCTCCGGAACCAGTGCAAACCCATTTTAAGGTGGTCTAAATCGAAGGCATTTTACGTAGACTTTATGGTACACTCCACAGCAAGCACAAAACCCAGGTTGAAATTACTCGTCTGTTTAAAAGGACGACACGCGAGGCGAAACCGACGTGGCGACTTACAATTAGTCTAACTATATCTGAGATTTCTCATCGACCGATATATTTCAGTCATCTGCCTACCCCATTATACTTGAGAATAAGTTGGCGAACAATGCATATGAGCGCGGTCGGATTTATCTGAAAGTTCACCTAACTGTACTGTGAATATACCCACCAGCATCCCGACGCAACAGAGAAAATGCGCGCAATTTATCTGGCATCGTAAGCCGTGCTCCACAATCTCTTATGTATAAGTCGAAGAAGATTGGGCGACTTCATTATTTTCCGTCACTCAGCCGTATTCTCTTCATAATATACAAGCATCCTCTGTAATACGACCAGGCGCACATCGAACCGTGATTCATATTTAACAACGAAAGCAAAGCAAATGCACTTCCTCGCTTAAGACATTCGTGGCGTCCTAATTGGCATTCGTGATATGCCGCTCGAGATCTCGCGATCTTGAGCAGCCAAACTTGGGATAAAAGGACGCATGCAATGGTGATCTAATATCGCACAAAGAATTATCCAAGAAACGAGCGGAGAAACTCGTTTCAATCGATCAGGGTGAACCGCGCAACTCAGGAGACTGTCGAAGGAAGGCCGATCGACAATGTCACGGAGGAAATAGGGAATTATTTTTATATACAAGCGCGACGATAATCAAGTTCGTTGAACAGATGCTTCTCGTGAAAACAATAATACGCTCGCAATACTCGATTGTATGACGTCAGTGTAACATGTGATTTTCAGCGAGACGAGCGGATGGAAGAATGAAATAGAAAGAAAGAGAAAGAGAGAGAGAGAGAGAGAGAGAGAGAGAGAGAGAGAGAGAGAGAGAGAGAAATCTGAGTGAAAGAGAGAGAGACGAGGGAAATAGTACTTTTGTTCGGATAATCGTCGAACCGGTTTTTCTGTCACGATTTTTCCATCAGGACCGATTCGCCGTCGATCTGACATTTTCCCTAACGCGAGGAAACAAAACGTATTTCTATTTGTATAATCTTGTAAGCTCTGTAAAGTTTTGGGTGTACGTGTACGTGTCTATAACCCTCTTGTGCGTGCGATAGATAATTACCGTGCTCGATGGAGGGGAGCCGGAAAACAGAACGATTGCCGTAAACGATCTCAGCGAACCAAAAGTTGCCCAAGTTTTCTGATTGCTATATTTTTTGCGAGATGATCTATTTTATCGGTCTTTTCGGCAAAGTTGTTTGATAAATTTGTATCCAGATTGGAATATCAATCGATCGGATATTCCATGAAAACAAAATCCCTATAATCAGGCCTGTATCTGATTTAAAGAAAAAGTAAAATACTTGAAAGAAATATATAAGAGCAAGATTAAGTAAAATTGTTTCAATTCTATTTCCGTTTCCGTTAATTCAGTGATATTAGCTGACGAGAATCTCGCTGGGTGTAGAAAGTCGAATGTATTAAAATATTAGAGCGCGTCGGTGTAAAGAACAAAACGATGTATAATAAAAAAGATGTATAATAGACGAGATTATTTATCGTTGATAAGAGCAACTTGTGTCTATTTTCGATAAAAGGTAAAACGTAGTTCAACCAGACGAGCCATATAATGCCTCTATCTACGTCTACATCTGGAGACTTTTCCACGGAGGCTAACATCACTGCCGGTCAGCCCCTCCAGGCACACGATGATAAACGAATAAAAAACAGAAAATACAGTAAAACACATTTACATAAAAGAAAAGTGAACGCACGAGGACTACCTACCGTTATTCTAGCCAAGAATTTGTATAGTAGACAAATAAGAGACGAGCCGAGAAATTATTATATCGGGAATAAAAAAAAAAGAGAAAAAGAGAAGAAATATAATGTAATAGGCCACGCACGCAGTGCTGCGACCGTTACTTTTAGATAAGTGTACATACACGTTGCGTTACACATTACGTTACGTTGAGGCGTATACGACAGCGACTCGCCCTCGCCGATCGACAATGAACGGAGAGAAGGCGAGACTCTGACGCGTCGTCTACGTGAAGATATGAGACTTTATATTACGTTGGCTGCGTTCCAAACTTCGCCCCGGAGAGGTACGAATTTAACAAGCCGCAAAACAAGACACGAAATACGGAGAGAATGTATATACCTATAGTCGGATGACTATATGAAACTACGGATCCATGTAATTCCCTCTAGTAATTTATATGCGGCTATCCGTTATACTCTCGGCCATTAGGCAAAAAAAAAAAAACGTCAACTTTTGCGGACCTAAGAGATTACAAGAAAGTTTCTTCTGGAGGGGTAAAAAGGGAAAGAGAGAGAGATAGCGAGAGATGTCCAAACTTCAAGGAACACACGTAAAAGTTTCGTGATAAATAAGGGGAAGTCCCTAATTGGATATCGTATGCCTTATTGAATTATTGTTATATATATGTATAAAAACCGATATTTCGCTTGAGAATTATGATAACGTTGTGAGAAAGTAGTTGTCACAAGAGGCGAAGTTCTAGAACGCGGCTGTAGGAGAATAAAACAGAATTATTACTATCGCGCGAGGTGCGTTTTGCTATACGTCAACGCGCGCTGATGAATTTGTTCCATTCCTTCCTTTGAGACACGTTCCCATCATTTTTCTTTTTAACACAATTAAATCTTATGTTAAAAACAGATATAGAGAAAGAAATCTATTTAAAATTCTTTCGTAAGTCCCCCGCGTGTATACACGCATTAGTATGAAGAACTATGCATTACGTATATTTCTGTTGTAACTGTCAACCCGAAGATAATTCCCGCGCGATATCGCATAAATGAGGAATTACATTTCTCATTAACATTTTTCAGATTAGCGGAATAATTCGTAAAATTCTCAGCGGCGTATGGCGTGCAGCATGTCGCCCCATAGTCGCGTAAGACAAAAGGAGCTTGAAAACTCGCGAGTGCTGCCGAATTGCCAAATGTAACAATCAAACAGTGTCTAGTTGAAATCTAAAATTCAGAAAAAGCCGAGGATAACTTATGCGGAGATACATACAATATACGCGCGAATGGATGCATGAGTGCGCGATTGTATGTGCGTGTGCGTGTGCCAAGTAGTTTAGCACAATTTTAGGCGGGCGGAACGTATATACATACACATATATATATATATATATATATATATAAATAGAGTGAGTGTGAGAGTTTTTAGAGACTGTACAAGAACGAGTTCGTGTCGATTGATTTTAGCATCTAACGTTCGTACAATCACGTGAACCTTTTCTCGGTGCCTTTCTGCTGCACTTCTTCCATCATCGTTTAGAAAAATATACACTTTCTCACTATCCCCATCAATCATTTTCCTCTCTATCTCTCTTCCCTTATACTGACTCCTTGTTAGGAGTGTTTCCGCGCGACGCCGCCGCCGCAAAGAACTTGAATATATTAAAATGAAATCTGCAGATTTTCTTGTTTTAAATTTTCTTTTTTCAATTCTTTGATCTCTAGCCAAAGTCAAGTATTAAAAATAATTTTAATTAAAGAATATTTAGAAATCAAAGAAAAATAATGCCAAAAAAACATATTATTGTACAAATAGTATAAATGTTTATTGATTTTAAAAAAGTTGTATTTATAATTACAATGGAAATTATCTCGGTTATTACCTCGATTAAACTCGTTCGAAAGATTATTTTAATTAATAGATTTAAAAATATTCATTATAACATATTTATGCAAATATTATGTCGTAAAATTTTTGTAATATTTAAATTCTAATAACTTAAGTTATTTGCTTAAAGAGTTTGAAGACCGGGACATAGACTTTTACGCATAATACATAAAACATAAGAAAATCAAGCGATCAAAATGTGTTTTTTTATAGAAAGAAAAGAAAATGAAAGATTTTGATTGGTTTATTATCTTATGCATTGTGCGTTATACTCTGTACTCTCTTGCTCTCTTAAAAAAAATTTAATAATAAATCTAAAATGAATGAAAGAAGACTCTATTAATCACATAGTATCGCAAAAATTAGAAGAAACTACTTATAATCAATTTTTGTAAATAGTTACATCGTACCAATTGTTTTAATTAAAAAATTGTGCTTTATTTAAAAATAATATTTTATACTACTATTAGATATTTTCCAAAGTTAGGAAAAAACAAAAAGAACGCAGTGGAGCGGCCGCACGGAATCTCTCTTATATTAACGATCATAGACCTTCGTACTTTTATAATTTTTCTACTCTTTAACATTAGATACTTTTAAGAATAAGAAACTGTTACTAGAACTCGCGCCTATAGACTCACTGCGCATATATTGATAAAGATTATGCAACTTCTCTTGGCTTGAATTATTCATTTTAAATATTACATTTTTTCCGTTATATTAATTTCTTAAAAACGTTCATTATTAATAATCTAACAAATAGAAACATTTCTTAAAAATATTAGAAATGCTGTTTATTTTAAATTTTAAATGATATTATAAATCTCATCGTATGTAATATCGATCAACAATTATTTCTCTTCATTATTGTACAATCATCTTTTTTTCTTGCTTTTTATATTACATCCACAAATTATATTTATTATGTCAAAGTAAATACCAAAGTAAAGTTCACATATAAGTTGGCAGTTTTTTAATTTAATATTTGTTCTTTCTATTAAATGTATATATATATTCTCATAATCATCTGCTTAATAAGCTTAATGAATATTGAACTAATGTCAATTTTACCTTTATCGACATTTTACCTTTAGAAATTTATAAAAAATATTTCGGTTAATTCTTCTGTCCCTTCCAAGTAATAGGAATGTAAAAATATTCAATATTTCTTACATTTCTAGTATATATCCTATGGTTTTTTATTGTAATATGTACGACTGATATAATTCCCGATATATACAGGGTGAATCATTACGTAGATATACACAAATAAGGTTATTACAATACAGATTTCTTAAAACAAAACAATTTTATCTTAATCCAAAGCATTTAGATTAAGGAAGTAATTAATATGAGTAAATTTATTTATAAATGAATCATCCTGTATATAAATACAGATAATATAAATTGAAGCTTTAACAATTTTTTCAGCTTCTATGTAAAAGATACTGTGTCTCTCCTCTATTATTATATTCTACTATATCTATTTTCTATATAAATTTAACAATTTGTTCTACTTTTATATGCTGTAGTTTTATTCAAATGGTTATGTTTAAATTTAATTAGATACGTGTTTGCAATATTAACAATTTCCATTGTCACAAAACCTATATCTCAAATTTTTCATTCTACTTCTTACTTCTAGAAAAATGTTATTTATAGCTATACAAAGAAATTTTTACATCTTTACGATTCGTATCTGATTATGTTTGGACGCTCACTTTTACCATGATATCTCTAAAAAAAGGTGTACAAATTGGGTCGCATGTTTGTTACGCTAGTAAGTTCATTAAAAATTTAATATTATAATATAATGCGCGTATTACATCTACATTACTATATATTTAAATATATTATACTCTATATATTTAAATATATTTAAATAATAAAAAAGTAATCCCTCTTTTTATTTCGAATAACAGAATGCGTTATAATATTGTGTTATGGAATGTATATATCTACAAGAAAAAGAACACAAACGTCTATTATATTTTTTCTTAAGTTAAATATAAAATTTCTGTCATTAAATAAACTTGATAAAAAATACTAATGTAATTGTATATATCGGAATATTACATTAAATGTATATAAAAAATTTTAATGCATTTACTAAATAGATCTAAGAAAATCAAATTTAAAGAAAAAGAGAATATGTCGTGTGTTACATTTATTGTTTCTGAGTGCCATTAGTTTTACGATTGATTAGCGGAATACAAACGTGCGACTTGATGTACATCATTACTCGAAGCAAAATTTCAGTTACTATGATTAATTTAGAGCTCAAAAAAGATCCCTCAAAAGTTACAATTCTGAAATTTGGTGATGTGAGAGTGCGTGCGAACGTATAGGCTATATTGATGAGAGAATGCGCGTATTATATATATATAAACAGACGCCCATTAATTGCGTTAGAATGAAGAAACAAAAAACTGACGACTCGATAATTAGCTCGCAATAAACTAAACGCAGGCGCAATTGTTAAGTGTTCCGTTTTGTAAATAGCTCCACGTATCGTGTTAATTGCGAGAACGAGACTTGGACTTGATGAGACAATGCAAGACAAATGATAACAAAAATTAACGTACAGCAAGAACGGCCTCAAAAACGGTATAAATATTCTGTCGACCGACACAATGGGATGGTGGTGAATCCAATGATGCGGTTCAGCACCGAGTGACGAATTCGGAAACAAACGTAAACGCTGATATACTTTTCGGTCGCAATCTTATTGATACGTTTTTCGATTAATTTATAATTTTCAAAAATACATGCATAAGAATATTCATTATATAATGAACGTCAAGATCTCATACAGCATTTATTTTTGCTACACAAAATTAAATTAAAAAGCATTTAAAATAAAAAGAATAGATAAAAAAAAGTAACGCTTGTTATATTTTAAAAAAACAACAAATGATATTAAAATACGATATTAAGCATCTAATTGCCGTAATTTTAATATATTTTCAGTTTTGATTTAAATTATTCAATTTATTTCTTAATAAGCATCAATGTTTTATTTAGAATTACGATGTAGATAAATTTCTTGCGAAACAATTTTCTTACTTTTTATTTCTGACTTGATGGACAATAATTTGACTGATTTACCATATTATTTCGGTTTAATGTTACAATTTATATTAATGTATGTATTATATTAATGAGATTGAAAAGGACTTATGTAAAAGTCGAAACGTTTCTCTTTTTTAAAATTTATGGAATAATTTGATATATATTGTCATCTTTTATATTGTTGCTTGTTTTTAATACCGTATTTTAATATCATCATTTGTTATTTTTTTAAAAAGAATAGATTTAAATAAGAAGCATAAACACACATATATATAAACTTGGAAATTATTTTTTAATTTTATGGTTTAAATTAATTTTTGTTTTAAAAAATTTTTTAAATAATATGTATAAAGTGTAGATTACACTAATTAGAAATAAAAAATTACATATGTTATAAAATTTAATTCTTCTATGTCACGCACTTTGATATTAAAAATATTATATCCAATTAAATGTAAACGTGTAATTATATGTATAATATTTTATTTACATATACGTATAACGATTTTAATTATGCAGGGCCTATTTTCATAAGAGAATTTAAACGTATCATCTAATATACTTATGTGTCCTAATAAATATATAATGGTAAAATCAAAGAAACAAATAAAAAACGTTCAAAAGTTAAAAATGTAACTCTTTCACTTTCATCTGAAGATATTTAATAATTATTATTTTAATAAGATACACACAATTGTAATTTGTAATATAGATACAAAATATATTTTATCAAAAAGTATTTTTAAAGACGTGATAGAATATCAATGGAAAAGTGACAGAGTTAACTAAGAGAAGAACAAATAAATTTAATACAAATAAACGGCGCTGCTATGTATATATGTAGCACAATTAACACGTAATTAACTGCCATAATGATAATTTATAAGACAAAATATTTTTTATTACCAAATGTCTTATTTATTAATTTAACAGCTATATATGAGAACAATATATGAGAAGCGTCAATAAAACTTACAAATAAAACTAGAAATTGGAGTAATATGATTAATGTAAAATCAACCAATATATATATCAAAATAACTTTTTGAAATATTTAAGTCAAAAAACATTTTTATTTTAATTTCTCTTGATATTGTGATACTTAGCTGTGCTAAGCATCTCCTTCGTGTACATTTGTATAAAACTAATTAGAAGCAATATGTGTGTGGAAGAACAATGTATTGTTAGCAAATAAACTTTGATTTTTTTACTGTTTGCGACTATTAACGTCACTCGAATAAGCCAAATACAAAAGAACAAATAAGGAAACGACCGAGTCAACATAATGACATAAATTTATAGTCAACAATCAACGTATGAGCCCCGTTCTGTCGGTCGCTGGAACGAAATCCACCGAACGTTCTGTTCGACGTCGATAACTCTTTTTTTTTACTCAAGATCGATCGAAAATACGACTGACTGCCGATCAGCGCTGTGCGCGTATGATCGATTGATCGATATCGAATGAAGCGTTTATCAGGCAACATAATACAATAAGTTATTCAAAATGTTAACCGAAATGTTAAAAGAAAAAAATAACAAACAACAGAAGCGGTGGAAACAGTGACACACACGCTTACACAGATACACGTGGTTATCCCACACAAGTATACAATTATACATACATACACATACACGTACAAGATGTTAATAAATTGGAATAAATGTTACGACTGTATTTCAAAATTTTTACTTTCTCTTTAACAACATCCTATCGTGTAAAGCTGCGATAAAATATAAATTTTCATTAAGTTTTTATTAGCGTCCTAATACTATTATAGATAATGAATATTTTACAGCTTTTATTTATTATTGTTTGTGTAATTATTATTTATAAAAATTTTACGATAAACAATATTTTATATTTAATTATTTATTTGAATAAATATAAGAGAATATCCATATGTACGTATACATTTGTTTACACAATTTTTATTTGGTTTTTATTTTTATCATGATTATTTTAAAACATTTATATAATTTTCAAGACAAATTAATTATATATCATATTATATAATTTAATACGATATCAAATAAGAGACTTACATGTTGTAAACAGCTTTGATATCAAACTGATAAATAAGCTTGTTTTACTTCAATAATAGCAAATGCACTAGATATGTTTTTAAAGTAATGTTGCTAGCAGTGTCGCATCTTAACAAAAAATAATCGTCAATTAGACATAGTTGCCTCGCCATCAATTTGATGAGTCATTTCTTATTAGAGCCTGATATTTCAGTGAATTCAGTACTGTATACAATATATGCATTAAAGGTTCTAAACACTAGATTTAATAAGATTTAAAGGTGAGTAAGATTAAATTTAGTTACACAACTTTTTTATAAGTAAAAGTAAAATTATATAAAAAAGATTTATAAACTATTAAAATGCAACTAAAACTTCCATAATTTATAATATATTTCAATAATTTTTAAATAATACTTTAAAGCGAATAAACACAAAGTATCTATAGTGTACAGGCCTGATAGAGCGTGACGAATCGGCCCCTCCAGTGGACATTTCCCCTTCCAACTTCAATAATAAGAATATATATCTATTTTTTCTTATACTTTTTTACTATATATAACGCGAGCCACGCTCTGCCAGATTCAATTTACAGTAATTTTTAAAGATCTTTGCACTTTAATATAACTTTACTTATTCGTTCTTAATGCGTTTGCCATAAAGTGTTATCACATTTATCACTGCAGATTACGTAACAAATCACTCGAGATATAATATCCACAACAGCAGTTCTTAGTAAAAAAGTAAGAAAAATTGTTACCTCCCACAATAAAGATGATCATAGACTATACAAAATTCTTCTCTAAAGTCACTAATAGACGAAGAATAAATTTAATTAGAGAATTAAGTAAGTATAGTTATTACTACTCATTATTACACTCATTATTACACTCATTTTCATTTGTTACATACTTCTTTATTCAAAATTTATGAGTCAATTCTAACCAAACTCGTAAAGCTCGTAACTTGTCCTTGTAAGATTTGTAAGAACTTAAGACTGGAATTGTAATTTTACGCGTATCGTAAAGTATACGATCGTTCCTAAATACTTACAATTTCTCGTAAATCTTACAGCTAGCAAGAAGTTGTCTATAAAAACTTTACGTAAATTTAAGTTATAAGCATTACAGTTTGTGATTTTAAGATTTAACGATACGTTTGTTTAGAATTGACTCATAGTAGTGTTGCTTTCCATTTACACACAAGTGAAACTGAGTCTGAAGTGAGCTGAGTATGAAATACTCAGACTGATGACGTCACTACTTGCTTATTTTGATAAAATTAACAAATAACAACACAGGTTTATAACCTTACTTTTAAAGTGAGTCTACGAGACTCAATAAAGCACGCACGATCTCGAGCTTGTGCAGATTATATAGGTTAAAAACTCAGTTGAATCTCACTTCTCAGAATGCAAAAGGAACGCGCATTCAACTGAGTAATGACGTCACAAGTGAGAATTATTTGAGAATTGGAGTAAATGGAAAGCAACTATTCTCTCAAGCAAATATATAAAAATATTCTTATATTGTATAAATTTATTTTTAAGTTCCGAATGTGGATGAAACAGCTAAAAATCAAAGATAAAATAAGAGTTTTTTTGTTTAATAATGACCTTTTTCGAGAGTTTAAAAATCGAAATAATCTCTCATTAACTTATTCGATTTTAAGTTAAATCATGAGACATATGGAAAACTGTTTCAAAAATTTCAAGTATATCTACTCTTATTTTATAGAGTTACATATTTAAATTTTTCGAAAATATACACATATTATAATAAATATATTCTTCATTATTATATCTGCAAATTTGGAAATATTTAACAAAGATATTCAAACCAATAAGTACATATGCGACATTTATAATGTAAAATCAGTAAAATTATGAGAAAATATGTACATTATTTGTCATTATTCTATTTATTTTTTGTTCTATTAATTGTTCTATTTATTTTTTCAAACTTTAAATTAGCCGGTCTCTACCTAACAAAACCAAACTGTATAACTCTGGCTGCCGGTATGCCAAATGCCACTACATATCCCATCAATAATATTTCCATGGCATATAAATATGATATCTCAGTAAAACTAAACGAACATGAAATGGCTGCAGTTTTAGAATATGGATCTTCGCAAGGGTAAGTAATATTAATAGATAAATATATAGATATATATACATATATATAAAAACTTCGTATTTTTTTTTTCAGTTACATAAAAGATAAATTTTTATTAAATATTAAAAACAAAAAATTTATTTTAAATAATTTTAGTCAATTCTAAGCTAATTTTATTTTTATCCAACTTTATTTTTTATTTTATATACATATAACGTTGCATACATAATATACAGTATATAATGTTATATTATTTATATTAATTATATATAATATTAATTATATAGATATAATATTTATTTTATATACAATGATTTTTCATGTTTTTGTAAAATAGTTATAAAATTTTATATTATTTGTTAATAAAAATTAAGCATTTTTTAATCATTTATTTAATAAAAATATAGAAATTTTCTTGTATTAATTAATCTATATTTTAATATATCTGAATTAAATGCTTATCATTTTTCTTGTCAAAGTTACGCACCATTATTAGAAAAATGGAAGGAGTTTCAAAAGACATGGCATTCACCAAAACGAAATGATTGGGATGTTGCGTTTACATGCGGTTCTATGGACGCTTGCGAAAAAATATTTCTAATGCTGATTGATGAGAATGATCCAGTTATGCTTCAAACTCCAACATATACAGGTGTTATCGGAGCGGTATGTTGTTTTAAAATATAATATTATAAATTGATAAAGTAATAAATAATAAAACATATATAAGCAAAAACATACAAGTAAAAAACGCAAAAAATTTTATTTATATGTAACTTTAAAATTAATATCTCTTATTACGTTTAAATTAATTAAAGTTAATACGTATATCTTGTATAAAGTATCTTGGAATTAAATATTTCGTAAAGTATTTAATTTCCACGATCTTATTTTTATATATCAAACAATAAAATAAATTAATTGATATAAAAAATATACAGATCTATTTAAAATAATAGTGTAATTTCAGATTGCATATGATAAATTTAATGCATTTAATAGATACAAAAAATGTATTTATTTTATTCTATGATATTATTAGGAATATAAATAAGTTTCCGCCGTTTTTTATCAAAAATTTGGCATTTATTATGAAAGAACGGTATCTATATAATGTTTTTATTCGAAGTATTGTCCATCGCTAGCCACTACTTTTTCTCATCTTTCTAATAATTGGTGGATTCCACGTCGAAAAAACACGTTCGGCCTTCCGCTACGTTCTTTGTCTTCGATGTCAAATTCACCGTTCTTAAACTTATGAAATCACTCACGGCAACTTCTCTCATTGCTTCTACAAGCAATCAATGCGCCTCAGTTGCAGATTTCTCCAAATTAAAGAAGCTCCTGCAAATGACGCTTATTCGGCTCAAAAAACTCGACATTTTCACACGGAAAAAGATATATGATACTGATACAAAATCGCTAATATTTCAAGGTTATGTTGTTGCCAGATGTCCAACCTTACGTCCCTTACGATATGACGTTTTACAGCAGACAATTTTAACCATAACATATTGGTGGCGCCATCTTTTGTCAAACGGCGGAAACTTATTTATTCCTAATATTTTCTAACATTTAAAAAATATTTAAAATTTTTACACATTTTTTATATATGTACATACATATAATAAATTATTTTTAAAGAATAATTTTCCAAAGATTTTCTCTTTTTTACTTATAGATAGCACCTCTGTTACCAGATGTTATAGAAATTAATCAAGATGGTGATGGTCTAATTCCTGAGCAAATTTCCAAAGAATGTGAACAAAGACTTAAAGACGGTAGAACAATGCCAAAAGTGAGTCACTAAAATATTGTGTCAAATCTTTTTTCAAACTATGTAAAAAATAATAAGAAAGCAATTATTTATTTTCGGTTTTTTATCTTTATTCGTGAAAAATATTTTCTATTTTACTTTTATAATTTAATATATATATAACTATACAAATTAAAAAATCAATAATTTATAATTACTTTATCTCTATTTTAAATAGAGCTAGTACCTGCATCTATGCATTTAATCACTTATTTTATATTATAAATTTACTCATATAAATTACATTTTTATTTTACATTTATTTTTAATTTAATAATATTTATGTTATTTATTTATTCTATGTAACGACTATCATATTGCTTTAAATTGTTTTTTCATTAAAATAATATTACATATACAGACTTGATTTTGTTATAGTTACTTTACGTCAATCCGACAGGAGCAAATCCTACAGGGGCAGTCATGTCAGAGATTCGACGAAAAAAAGTGTACGAATTGGCGCAGAAATACAATTTTCTAATTATCGAAGATGATCCTTACTGCTTTATTCATTATCTGGATAAACAGCCCATGTCGTTTTTCTCTCTCGATACCGATGGTCGCGTGATTAGAATAGATTCGTTTAGTAAGGTGATAAGCGCTGGATTTCGCATCGGTGTTACTACAGCGCACAAAGATATCATAAATAAGTTGATTGTTCACATTACATCTTCTACTCTTCACGCATCAGCTTTATCTCAGGTAAAGTTCATTTTTTTTCTTTTGATATTTACGTATTTTAACTTGAATTATTGCTTTATCGTGATTAATACTATTATAATAATTTCTTTTACATATCACGCGTGTACGCGTGAGTGTATATACAGATAAAATACACAGATTGTAAATGTAAATGTGATTATATAAATATTTTATTTATCAGGCTTTTATGTTTTACGGAATTTTTTTAAATCACGACTATGTTCTATTATCAACAATTTCATTTTTTAATGAATTCTTGACGATAATAATAATTAAATGCCTACATATTATAACAATATTAATTTGTGTAATATACATTAAAATTTATTTTCAATAATTTCTCTTACAGATGTTTCTTTATAAACTCTTTGAGAATTGGGGACCGCAAGAATTTGAGCAACATTTTAAAGAAATTCAAAAATTCTACCAAAAGCGACGTGATGGGATGCTGACTATGATAGAGAAACATTTAAATGGTATGTTAATATTAATTTAAAAAAATTTTATGTTGAAGATTTCTGAAAACAATAAAATAACAGTGAAAAATTAGAAGATTTTTCCATCGGAAAAAATTACTTCTTCAACCTTATATAATATCATTTAATCTTTACCATTTTGCAATTATTACAAATATAATGTTTTCTTCTTAAATTATTATTACTCATTACAAGTTTTCAAATAAATGTTTTAATAACTACTCTATAATCTAAAATTTTATGAAAACAAGAAAAAACTAAGAGAGTCTTGAAACTAAAAAAACTATAATTATATGTATAATACCGATGAGAATGTACCGTAACGGTCCAATAAAATTTGATATTATAATTATATATATATAATTTGATATTATATTATTTTTAAATATTATTTTTAAACTTCCAAGAGTAACAACTAAAATTTGGCTCTCATCGCATTGTCTAACAATGGACCATTTTATAAATTGTACTTTGATACAATATCATATTATAAGAAGCTAATTAGACATATAACTAGACGATTCACAAAGGTTTATGGACTCTAGCTATTGTATCGAAATTAATATAATGTCAATATCATGCGAGTGACAGTATACACTTATTATTTTATATATAATTTTTATATTTTTAATTCTATAATTCCATGCATTATTGTTTTGTTTTAACAATTTGCGATTATTTTTTTAAAACTATGTATAATAATTTTAACCAAATGACCATTTTTATTTACTAACAATTGTATATTTTAACGAATTTTTGGCTCGTAGCCCTTTTCCTTTTTCATTATTTTTAAATTTATTGAGCCTTATCACCAACATATTATAATTATATATTTTTTTTCTAACGCTTGATTAAATAAAAACATTTTTATTTATTCAAAGAGTCCTGATTTTTCTGTAAAAAAAAACTAGTTTTTTAAATTGATCAAGAAAGCATAATAAAAAGTTTTTAAAATCTATGGCCCGTATTCAGAACGCGCTTACAACGCAATGTTAGCGCGCTAACATGCTATTTTACGTTATGCATATTATAGAATTTCAGAAATAAAAGCGCGCTTTCATTGATAAAAGCGCGTTCTAAATATGGGCTTATGTATAATAAACAATGCACTTTATATTTTAATATGTAAATTTCGAAAATAGCTTTAAAGTTTTCACATAAAATTGTTATCTGTTAGGTCTAGCAGAATGGCACATACCGCAAGGTGGAATGTTTTTTTGGATTAAAGTAACAGTTGTGGATGATACAATGGATTTAGTGATGAATAAATGCATACCGCAAGGCGTTTTCGTTCTTCCTGGCAATGCCTTCAGCTATGATCCTTTAAAACACGATTGTCATTTGAGACTTAGCTACAGCTATTGTTCACTGGAAGAAATGGATAAAGTATATATAACTTTGAATATTATTAATTTTTTAATTAATAATCTCTGCCAAATACAAATATAACAAATTCATAAATTTATGTATTATTATAAAGAATGCCGTACAAATTTATTAATTTTTTCACAATTAGAAAATCCACATAAAACATATATATCTTTATATACTTCTTATAAATTGCAAAAAAAAAAATATCATGCGTAAAAGTAGAAACATACATAAATATTTTTACGCTTTCTATATTTTTACTCTCTTATTTTTTAGTTAATAGTGTAAACAAATATCAGTTATATAAGTTTCAAATTTAAAATATTGATGTTTTTTTTTATTTTTTTCAGGGATTATCTATAATAGCCAAAATAATACACGAAGAAGCAGCAAAGAAAAGCAATATTCAAATACATACATAAAAATTTATATTATAATATTATGAGTATATGTATTAGACGTTTGAATTAATTCTCGCTGTTTTTTTTACTAAAAACAAACTCTAAAAAAAAACTCATGTTTATTTTATCAAAAAAGTACCTGATATTTTATTCACAATATTGTCCATCGAACGCTATAAAAAGCCTTTTTCCAGAGTTGTGCGTGTTACCTCAAAAAAATAACTCGTTACCGTTACTTGTTATCAATTTCAAAAAGTAATGCGTTACCGTTACCGTTACTTAAAATGTAACGATTCGTTACATTTCATTCGTTACTTTTTCATTACTTTTTTTTATAATGCCAAAAATTATTAAATTTTAAAATTACATTAACTGATATTAAATATGAAATAAATATTTAAACTTGAAACTCTACTAAAAATTTACAGTATATATATGTATTTATATAAATTGTATGTATATAATTATATGTATATATAATATATCAGGGTGATCCGAAATTCGCGGATTCGGAGTACAGGACATGATACTTTATGCTAAAACAAACAACTTTTTCCTTCAGCAAAATTGCGTTCGACAAATAGTTTTTGCATGAGAGTTTCTTGAAATTAGCGAATAAGCACTCGGATCCATGTAGCGTTCAGGGCCGGGCGTGCGCCTCACTTGCGTATACCTAGTCCGTGACTAGTATTCATAAATGATGTCTTTTAAGACGCTCATACGGCTCTGTTATGATTAGTTTACGATATCTTAAGACTGTACTTAAGATATCTTATCTTAAATAATAAACAAAAGCTATGAACAATATCGGCATTTGACCATTTTTCATATTGTGTTGCATAAATGATGAAAAGTTAATGAAATAAATACTGCCTTTATTTCTTACGTAATACATGAATAAAAAATTGTCTGTTTGCATAATAATAATGTGAAAATAAAGACAAATGTAAATAATAATATGCTTCGCGAGCGTTCTTTTATTTCAAATATTGTATAATTACGTGATAGTTAAATAGCATCATTAAACTTAAAGAATAATCTTAAATTTATTGATCAAACGAGTACATTTGTGACTAAAGTAAAATAAAATCGTCCGGCTAAAGCTATGATAATAAAGCAGACAACAATTCGTAAGTACTTATGATGTAAAAAGATGTGTGTTCTCCGGTTTTAATAATACACTCAGCAGCAAAAATGTATATATGTATATGTATATATACAGGATATCCCACGTAATTGTGATCACGATTTTTCCGACACTTCCGATGATCTGACACAATTATTTTGGATAAAAATTAGTCAGTTTTCAATAGGCTACAAATTGTAATATTAAAAATTTGAAAAATATTCTTTTTTAGGAAAAAAATCGAGGTCACCCTAATTTTTTTAAATAGCACCACATATTTTTTACTAAATACATAATATTGTAACTGATGTCTGGACGAGTTCAATGATCTGCTATATTATAACCTTGAGATGATCTTACAATTGATTTTTTGTATAGACTATTCTGTAGTAGAAAAAGATTTTTGTAACTACTACTTTTTCACAGACATGGATTCTTGTTTTTTAAATGAAACTACATACAAAACAACAAATTATAAACAAAAATATAATAGTAGTATAACAAAAAAGTAGAACAAAAAATTATAACAAATTTAATGAAAGAAATTATGTAATTACAATGGCCGGTATTCATAGTCAGTTCTTATATTCAAGACCGTCTTAAGTTCAGTCTTGAGGAGTTACGAATCAATCAGAGGTCGGTATTCATAGTCAGTTCTTATATTCAAGACCGTCTTAAGTTCAGTCTTGAAGAGTTACGAACCAATCAGAGGGCCGCTTTAGCATCTTAAGACATTAATTAAGACAGTCTTCAAATAAGGACTGACTATGAATACCGGCCAGAGTGCCGCTTTAGCATCTTAAGACATTACTTAAGCAGTCTTGAAATAAGAACCGACTATGAATACCGGCCAATAAGTATTCAAATTGTAGTTCATTTTCTTGTAGGCACAATTCTATGTGCTCTATGTAATCAATTTCCACAAGTTGCTCCTATAATGCTGTCACGGCGAATTTCTTCACATGCTGTACGGATTCGCTGCTTTAAATGTTCCATATTTTGAATTGGTTTCGCGTAGACTATTGATTGCAAATGATCCCATTAGAAAAAAATGTAATGGTGACAAATCGGGGAACCGAGATAGTCAAGGAATTAGTCTGTAAGTGCCCAACCAATGTTCTCCGCCCATACAGCACCAAAAAAGTGTTAGAAAGGTTTCAAAACCATTTCAACCTTTCACATTTCACATGTAACATTCCTACAAGCTGTCTGCAATATGTCATGCAAAATGTTGCCTATGAAATATGGCTGAAACCTTTCACATGACACAATTTTTTCGATCCTTTCAGTTGAAATATCTCTGAAACCTTTCATATCATTCACATTTGAAACCTTTCAGTTGAAATATCGCTGAAACTTGTCACTTGTAATAACATTGCGAACCTTTCAGTTGAAATATTTTACATGACTCAATTTTGAAAGCCTTTCAGTTGAGATATCTCTGAAACCTTTCATATCATTCACATTTGAAACCTTTCAGTTGAAATATCGCTGAAACTTGTCACTTGTAATAACATTGCGAACCTTTCAGTTGAAATATTCCTGGAATATTTTACATGACTCAATTTTGAAAGCCTTTTAGTTGACATATCTCTGAAACCTTTCACATCTTCATTACTCACAATATGCGCGCGTAAGAGAAAGACAGATTCATTCATGTTTTGCATCTCACTATTGCTTACTTATTATTTGTAAATAACAAGGTAAAATTTTGTTGCCATTACGAAATAAGTGTTCTTTTAGTAATTTTAACAAAATAATCTGTTTGGGTAGACAAAATATTTTTATTAAAAGTATATATGGACAATTCGAAACATCTCTGTCAATAAGGTAAGAGTGGAGCAGTACCTAAGCAGTAGTTAGGTGAACGACTCAGAACTGGACCATGGACGAGTCACGAGTTCGAATCCTATCAGGTTTAAAAGTTTTTTCCTAGGTATTATTAGTTAGTTAAGGAGAGGACACAAATGATGGAAAAATAAATCTAATTAATAAGAACTGCTGTAACTTTTTTTTTTTCGTGTGCGTCCGCATACGTGCGAGCAATATGGCATTCAATTGAGGACATATCTGTCATGCGCATGACACTCACGGGTGCGGATAATCTTGCACTGCGAGAGCATTGTGCGCGCATTTTGTTATCTGGGTTGCTGCAATATTGCATCGCAATATTTCTGGAGGCGGACATTTTTACGTTGCTGCAATGTTGCAGCAACGTTGCAACAACATTTTGCAATGTTGGTGCAATGTTGCAACCTTGCAAATAAATATTGCTGCAACATTGCTGCTATATTTCTGTGCCGTATGGGCTATCGGTGTCAATGCGCAAATTCAAACTATTTTCTTGCATATAAATGTGAATGCATTCAGAGACTAATCTTTTATTTAGGAATCGCGCGTTCCAATGTCAAGAAATGATCACAGTAATTTAATCTTTTATTTAGGAATCGTTCCAGTCAGTGTCAAGAAATGATCACAGTAATTTAATCTACGATGATTCTTGGTAAATGTTTTTGAAAAAGGAATCGATCCAATTTTTCAAGACGTTTTTTTTGTATTAATATTAGTTGAGTCATTTGTTAATTTTATTATTTAACGTTTAAATATTGTACATTATTGATATTATACGTTATAAATATTAACAGAGATTTCAACATCAAATCTGTAAATCTGATGTGATTCTAATTATTGATACAAAGGAAGTATATTAATATTAGCTGAAGAAGATTTCAAAGTAAGTCGAAATGCTCTAAATTTTATGGAATAAAGGATTTTTTATACAAATCCACGGATTATTGATTTGTATCAATACGAAGTATCGCGCCGCACTCTCATTCACTCTAAATTACTGAGTTTACATTATTGATAAATTTTCAAATCGTTCTTGTAATATTGTTTAAATTCTACCCCCACTCCCTAAATTTCTGACAATTGCGCAGTTTAGTAAATACTGTCTATATAGTTGGATACATATCACTACATTGAATTTTGGCTACATATCTTTGGGCTTTGGCCGCCTGTGTACTGTACACACATCGCACAATCGCTAGGCACGGCCCTGACGCGCTGTATGAAGAGCTTAGAACATACGAGGTCTGTCCCAAAAGTATCCGACCTACCTCCATTTTTCGGCGCTTGGCTTATTTTTCGTCATCCGGTTGGTGGCATCCTTCGAAGTAGTCCCCATTTGATTGAACAACACGCTCATATCGATGCTTCCACTTTCCAAAGCAGTCTTGAAAGTCAGTTATTGGAATCGCCTTCAGTGCATTCGTCGCATTGGTTTCAACAGTCTTCTTGTCGTCGAATCGGTGTCGTTTAACACAGTGTTGTACAGCTTCGCCAGCCTCCGTACAGTCCCGACGTAGCTCCCTGCGACTTTTGGCTATTTCCTCGATTGAAAATGCCGCTTAAAGGACACCGATTCGACGACAAGAAGACTGTTGAAACCAATGCGACGAATGCACTAAAGGCGATTCCAATAACTGACTTTCAAGACTGCTTTGGAAAGTGGAAGCATCGATATGAGCGTGTTGTTCAATCAAATGGGGACTACTTCGAAGGATGCCACCAACCGGATGACGAAAAATAAGCCAAGCGCCGAAAAATGGAGGTAGGTCGGATACTTTTGGGACAGACCTCGTATACTACTGAAAGCGGAATAGGGCGCTGAACGTGAAGCCAACATCTGTGCGAGAGAGAAAGGTATAGATTCATAAATGTTCGCAATGCGAATGCGTCAGTACCATCGTCTATGTGAATTATTGTAAGAAATGGACTATTTCAGTTACTAGAGAGCTAGTTCTTTTCTGTTATTTCTCCATTACTAGCGCTCCACTCGCATGCGCGCGCAGTCCTTTCCGCTTGTGATTGGTCTGCCTTAATTGTAAGTCGT